TGCCTTTCATGGGAGTCCCCATACCGCCCTCTTTGTTCCCGTTCCTATCCATGGGGAGCAAGAAGAACCGCAGAAGGACCAAAAGGACATGGGCCTGGGCTCTCCACTCCAGGGTGACACAGGGAACATGCCCCTGTGGGGCCCCTGATAGCCCTGAAGAGGAGGGCTGTCAACAATGAGGTCACTTTACCTCAAAACGAGATGCCACTCTACTGACAACAGTAGGAGGGTACTCCAGAAAGAGGCAAAACCAGGTCCAGGTCAGCAACTGGAGCAGCCATTGGACCCCAAGGGGAAAAAGAGATCATTATTCTAGATCTAAAGATGAAAAAATGCAATAAATGTATGAAAACTACAGAAGTAGTCTTGCTGAGGATGACTGTCCTGGATATCACCAGATGATCTTCTTGTCATTTTTCAAAATGGGCGTCACACTTTCACTACTCCATCTACAGAAGGAAAAGGACATTGTTACAGGACTTAATTAGCAGCAGGACTCAAGGCTCATCTGATGACCAATTCTGACAGCAATACCCACTTTAAGTAGAAGAAATATCTATTCAGCCTCTCCAAACACCTCAACATAGGGATACTTCAGCTTTCTCAGGTGTTTGTTTAGTTGCAGCTCAGCACAGGTGGTGTGGACAAGATGCTTGAAGACAGGTATCCAGTGTTAGGCAGCCTCCCTGATTATCATTCTTCTATTCTTCAGAAGACTCCAGCATTTTGTTCAACAGGGCTTGCCAACCCTGTGTTACACAGCTACTTTTAAGTGCTTAATCTGAAGCAAAAATGCAGCCACTCGGTCACAACTAAGGATGACAGAGGCAGTGTATGCCTGAAGTGCTCGAGAGGTTCTACCCTTCACTTCAGAGGAGCTCCTCCAGATATACATGTGACTTATTCCTCCCTCTTAAACAGCTGTTCGAAGTTATTTTTTGTGTTATTCTCACTATCCCCCACAGTGTGATTGTGACAGGTATCATTGGGTCCTAACAGCAGAAATTACTCTGACAACCTGCATTCAATTTCAGAAAGTAATTTCCAGACATGTCTTTCATAGCTGTATACTTTTTTATTAATAGAGCTTTGTATAATTTGCAAATCACTCCAACTGAGAAAGTGTTTTTCTCCACTGCAAGAGAAGTAAAATGTCATGTTTTGTTGTCAACAACACCCAACACCAACAATTCTACAAATTTTTTTTTCTGTTCCACTATCACATCAAAAAGTGTGATTACACCAGCCTAGTAAACAGCAGCCTAAAAGAAGCAAAACCAGTGGCAAAATTTTCACTGTAACTTATAAATCACTTCTGTAACATCCCTATTTTGCACTATCTCTGCCAGTCCATTTTCTCCACCTCTTTGTCACCAGACATAGATCAGCTGCTGTTTAGGTGTAGTTTCGATTATCAACATCTAGGTCAGTAATTATTTCCTACGGAAAAACCAGTCACCTCAGCAGAAGTATGTGAATGGAGCTACTTTTTACCAAAAGCTTAAGAATCTGAATTATGTTACAACTTTCTTGGTAGAGATGTACTTACTCCGCTCTTAACATATCACAGATGGCAGCTAGTTTAATCTTTTTTTGCCATCCTGATGTGTATCTAGTTGCTAAATTGATTGCTATTTAGGATATGTCTATTCTACAATCCAGAAATGTGAGTGTTGATGAGGCAGATGTATTTAACACACCTTATAGAGGAAAGCGAAGTGACAAATGTGACATCAATCTTTAAAGGTGCTTCAAGGTGCTTTCGATCCTGAAAATTACATACTTGAAATTCAAACTTCAGGCCATTATAATTTGTTTCTATAAAGGTAAAAAAAAATAAATTAATGATCACTGGGGTCAATATGACATACTGAGGAAAAAAATCAACATTTCTTTTGTGACTGGAAATCGTAGCTAGTATCGCCACTAGATCTATCTGAAGAAATCACTCAGTTCGTGTACGTAAACGTGAGTGAGCTGATACTGCATAGTTGAACTTCCAGAAAATATTTCAACCTTGCTTCTAATCAAATGCTGGTTCCAAAGATGTTACAAGTCTGGAGAGAAGACAAGGCCAAGAAATAACAATGTATTAAAAATAGCAAAAAAAAATTATAGAAAGAAATTGTCATTTTTATTAAGGAGGTGGATGCCACAAGACTGCTACTGAGATCTATGCATTTTACGTATTTATAAATAACCAGAAGAAGAAAACAACTATGTAGGTGATAAAACTTGCTGACATTGGAGGTATGAAGTAGATTCTATACCAAAACCAACGTTACAGGATGCTTTATCTTGAAAATAATATGACCAAAGAGATAAAACTGCAGTTAATAAAATTATAGAAAGGGAATGACTCCAGCAAAATCATCAGAGAGAAGGTTTAAAAACCATTCAAACAGGAATACATTCACTTTCAACCTTTCCAATGCCCATGTTCAAGTGTTGCCTGCAAAAGAGAGGTTCTTGTGTGCAGATGTCAAAACTATAGATAAAGTTTCCTTAAGAGAGGAAACTGGAAGGAAAATCGAGGGGTTTCTTCACCTGATTGGATACAAGGCTGAAGGAAGTTGCAATTACCATGGAGAGTGCTGAAGGCCTCTGCAACTTGCCCCAGTGTGGGATAGCTATGGTCCTGCTGGACTAACCCTGGGAAAGTAGACTTATGAGATTAGCTGCATAAGCACTTTTCCCAAGAATTTAGCTCTGCATCCCACCCTGCACTTTAAAGAGCAGGGATATATAAATGCTTTGGGGACCTGCCTGCTATCTGGGCTGAGATGGCAACGTTGATGATTTACCCTAACAAAGTTTCCAGCACCAAGTCCCACAGCTCAGTTTCCACCATCTGAATTCAAAAAGTGAATCAAACTTACTAAGTCTCTCCAATAAAACTGGAAAAAAAAAAGAACAAAGAAGTGGATTAAATACCTAACAATACCATGGAGAAACATAAACTTAGATCTGGGGAAACTTGGTTCTAGCTCATGGGAAAATTTTGTATTAATATGTGGCCTTAATGTCTTCTTTTGTAGTCCCGTACTGTAAAAGAATCAAATCCCTCTCTTACTGAAAAATATCTACAGAAAATAATAAAATACAAATGTTTCTTTATACACTACACATGGGCCATCTGTAAGTCATATCATCTTTTTCCCTTCCTTAATATTGCAAACTCCACTAAGAAGGGTTAAGAGCTGAATCTTTTCCTTTTGGTTTTCCTCAGAGCAAGCCAGCTGCCTCATGGAGCTATCAGCAGGGTTTATTTTTCCTGGCTTGGATGCAAACCTCTAGTTATTAATATGAGAGTGAACTCTGCTAGCTGACAATTTAAGATAAAGTAAATTGGAAGTGACATAAAGGAGCATGTGGGTGTTAATGTGCGTCACCAAGGTTCTTTTCTGACATCCTGAAAGGTCTCATCTGTATGGCCGACACTAGCAACCTTTACCAGTGACCCTGTGCTATTAAAGGGTAGGCACTCTCATTGATTTGTAAAAGTGACAGATGTGGCATGTGGTTGTAAATTAGCCATGTGAAGTCGGTCTCCAGAGATTTCCAAGCATGTTTTTTCCTTTGCAATGATTTATGTTCTTCCATTTGCCAAGCTGCACAAAGCGAAGCACTTAACTCTTTTTCACCAGTCATCTTGTTGTACTTTGCTTTTTTTCTGAGTTTGGAATTTTTCTGGTTTTTTCAGTTTTCTCACTCTTCCTAAGCTATCATGATTCATAGAGCTAAACTCCTGCTCAGTTGTTTCTTTAAGAAGCTTTTCCTTTTCTCATCATAGTATTTCTGAAGAAGGTTAGCAAAGTCATATCAGGGTAAATTGAAATCTCTTTCAAATCCTTAAGCCCTAGCTTTTATTTACAATTGTGCATCTATATCTATATATATATATTTTTTTTTATATATATATATATGTATGTATATATACATATACACACGTGTGTGAGTACGCGTACATCTCTCTCTCTATAAAAAATTTCATGGAGCTATGTAGTAATGCGATAACCACGGTATCCTGCATATGTTATCTGATTTCTTTTTTTAAAAAAAAATATATAGGCACCAGAAATAAGTATATAGAGCAAATCAACTTTTAAAAAAATTAAAGTTAAATCAGTGGACAAGAACTTTGGTAAAGTTTGTCAAGATTTATTTTTTTTTTTTAAATTCAAATACAGTCAAAGTCTATCAGTTGCCATCCCCCTCTTCACAAGAGGAAAGTGCATGGGCTTTTTTTTTTTTTTCCCCTAAAGAAAATTAGACTTAAGGTGGGGCTTAATAATTCAAGAAAGTTCTGAATTAAATGTACACATTTTTCAAAAAATTACTATGTTTCTGATGGAATGAAGCTAAATAGAGTTCTTGTCCTGCATGTATTTTATTTGTCATATGCATATATATAAACATATATATATATGCATGTCTGTTTATGTACCTCTGTGTGTGTGTATATATATACACATCCACACACTTGTAACATGAAAGAGGAACCTGTTTTTCTCCCACTTTGCATGTGGAGACCAACACGTTCCTCCCTGCCTTGTACCCTGTGCAGTATAAGCTCTAGTGATGAGGCCAAACAAAAAGATAATAGTTCACCATAGTATATTAGTTTATGTAGCAAAGTCATTTTCAAGCAAGTAAAATAAAGCTCTGTATTCCAAACTTCTTTTCCTTTACATTTCTCATAAAGAAAAGGAAGGAAAAGGAAAGAGGGGAGGGAGTAGGGTTATGGCAGTAGCACTGAGCCTGTAGCACGTGTGTGTGTGCATGTGTGAGGGTGCAAGAGTGCGCGCGCGCGCGCACACACACACACACACGTGCACAGAGAGCAGGGCTTTGGTTGACAAATGAAGATTGTCCAGAGAAGGTGGATGCATAAGTAAGGAAGACTCTACAGTGATGCAACTGTATCCTTTATGTTTGCACGCAGTGAGAAAACAAATTCAATTGGAGGGAAAAAAAAAAAGAAAAAAGAAAAGAAAGAAAAGACCTCCTGTTAGGTCCCTCATCAGTGAGAGCATACTCAGTATGCTAGAGAATTTATCTGAAACCTTTTAAATCAAGGCCTCTTTATTACAAAAATAAAAACAAACAAACAAAAAAAGCATGAGAGACGACAAGATGCTGAAGTGTCACTCCAATCGTCCCTGCAGAGAACAATTGCATCCCATTTATTATTCATTTTCTTCTCTCATTTCTACGATGTCTGTCATTTCCTCTGTGTGAGGCATGTCGGTCATTGCAGAGTCTTCACCTTCTGTAGCTGTTTCATTCTCATTCCGCTTCTTTTTCTAGATTGAAACAAGCATTCAGAAACCTATCAGTAAGTTGTGCATGAACACACTCCTACAAACTTTGGGCGCTGGGAGAAGTGAGGTGGGAATAATGTGGGGTTTTTTTTAGAGTATGTTATTAAAAGCTGAGTATTTGTGTCATATTTGTGCCTTGTCACTAATAAGCTGGCTTAACTTTGAAGGTTTCCATAACTTTCTTGGGGCTCAGCTTTCTCCTTTCTAACATAAATGCAATAATAGAGGCATTTCTTATGTTAAGCAACATCCAAAACAGGCTTCAGCATGACTGGAGGGAAGAAAGCATCTGGAATCTTTTACATCATAGACTTTTATTAAAAAAAAAAAAAAGAAAAGCAAACAAAATAATAGAGAAGATAAGCTGCTCTATGAGAGGAGGGAGAGGTGGCAACCTCTTTTCTCAAACGTCAAAACTTCAGGAAATTTTACAAGATGGGAGCATTCTGGCTTCTCTTGGTATTGCTGATCCACTGTAATCCCCCATCCCACCAAGGTCAAGTAATATTTGAATATTTTTGGCTAGCAGGAGCAGGAGGGCATTCAAAAGTCCTATGATTCATCCAGGACTTCCTGGATTAGTAAAGCTAAGAAGCATTCAGCCCCACTACAAAACAAGTTGAAGCATCTGTTCCTTATTATCCATTTCTCAGCAGGCTGACTAGTTTTACAGTAAACACTTTTACAGCTGACAAAAATTCTCCCACAGGTATTATTGATTCAGCTCAGTTGGGCATATATATATATATATAAAGTTTCAGAATTTCAGAGGTGTATATGCAACACTTGATGTGTAGCTCTCAAATGCCGCCCACTTATCACCACTGTTGGTGAAGTTGGCTCTGCCACTGTCACATTGGCTGTGGAGATGATGCTCTCAGCTACATACTAATTCTGATAATGGAATAAGTTAGATTGGCACAGTTATTATTGCCACTACCTGCACTCCGCACTGCAAAAATTAAGCACCGTGTCCTCGGCCAGAAACACTCTCTGAGCTACTACCATAACAAACAAGTGATTCAGAGGTTAGTCCAGATACATGTTGTGAAAGCACAGGCCATGAACCATTTCAGCATCTACAGGTTTTACTCTTTGGTTCTCAAGAAAAATGTGACAGACTAATCATGATAGAGATCAAGGTCTTCCATTTTCTTAGGAAACTTGTACGCTTTGGTCTATTGCCATAGCCTCCACTGTTAATAATAGAGGTTTTAGTTTGTTCCAACATAAGGTTTTTAGGTATTCCATCTTTCCTAATTTTTGCTAAAAATAGAACTGGCAGGCATCTTCACTTGGCCCCTAGTAAGAGTTGTAATAAAAAAAAAGGAAATACATTTTTTACATTTTCTGGTTCCATCTAGAGAGTCCTTCTGCACTATGGAATGAGGTACACACCAGCTTGTTTCTGCTTGAAGTTGGACCTGGTGCACAGAGCATAAAACCAGGATACAATATGCAAGAACTGAGATGTATCTAGTCAGTCAGCCAATATTTATCCTGTGTTTGACTTCATTTGGTGGAATACTCTTTGAAATCCATGTATCATTATTACTCTATACATGCAGGACTGTAGCATGTGAAATACGTAAAAGTATGCCTACGAGAAAATTTCACCTGTTTAAGTATTTGTAAGATCTCATCCTCTACTGCTGCAGGAATGTATCTTACGTTAAGCCACTTCTTAAGATGGCAAAAAAAAAAGCAATGGCATTTTTTCTCAGCAGCGCTGGTTTTATACATAAATTAATTACATATGCATATGCATATGTATATACACATACATATACAATTGTAGAATCATAGAATTGTTCAGGTTGGAAGGGACCTTAAAGATCATCTAGTTCCACCCCCTCCTGCCATGGGCAGGGACATCCCCCACTAGACCAGGTTGCTCATATCATATCATATCATATCATATCATATCATATCATATCATATCATCGTATCATATCATAAATATCTAATGTGTATTTATATATACATATATACATATACATATGTATATACCTATACCTATACCTATGCCTATACCTATACCAACACATAGCTTGGATGGGTAGTTGCAATGTCTACATAAAGAAGCCACGTTGTACTGTAGGAGCAGATCTAGAACGCAAAATAGGTGGTGGTAAGAATATGATTGATAGCCATGACACACATATTTTGAGGAGCAAGAGGTTTACTTCAGACCAGTGTGTCCCATGGCCTGAACACCCACTAGCAGCTGGAAGGCATCTCTTGGTTTTGTTTCAGCCAACTCCCAAGTTGCACCCTCTTGAGATCGCACAGAGAAGAAAAGCAAACCAAGTCCAGTAAGCAGGGATGCTGGGGAGTTACATTTGCAAAGGGTACTCTTAATCTGAACTAAAATGCACTATGTTCATCAGCTGCTTCCACCAAATCCTGCAGAGCCTAATTCTTACCTGTTTCCGATAGACGTAACAGGCCGCTATTGCAACCATGGTGGATTCTCCTACAAAACCAGCTAGAAGGGATCCTACTCCAAGAGTGGCTCCATGAACTCTGTGGGTGGCATAAGAGGACAATAGTCATGCTTGTGTGAGAATGCAGGACTCATAATTGTATTTTCACCGGCATATAGAACCAATCTGTTAGAAATATTTCTTTCAAAGACATAATACACTGGCAAGGAGAATAACCGGTGTTTTAGAGGACTTTTGTTTCTTAATAGCTTAACTGTTTAGTAAAACAACCACATTCATTCTGAATCAAATTATCGACTACAAATTTCAAGTGTTGTACAGAGTGCTGTAGAATAGATTGTTTAACTTATAAACAATATATTATATATTCTTCCATTAGCTTTCTTAACGGTGCATTTAATAACATGGAAATAAATTCCCCTTAGGACACAACTTTGCTTCTTTGACATTTGTGTATTTTTTCAAACGGACATCATTTTTGTGCCTGCCTAGAGCAGCCACACTTGTGAATTTTTACATGTATCTTTTCCAGATACTGACAATATTTAGGCTTTATATAATAGTTAGTATTTGGAGAAAATGTTCTCAGCAACGCAAATTCAGCCATCAAACGACAGGGAACAGGAACGAAGAGGAAAGCAAACGCATCAGCACTGTGGAAACAATTATTTACCCCAAGTAAGGCAGCACAATGAGACTTGCGATGAGGACAATAATTCGCAGCACTGAGCTGGGTGCCAACACAAATGTCTTCTTCAGAGTCATCAGCCAACCAGTCAAGTGCGCTCTGACAGTCACTGTTTGTGAACAGGGGAAGGGAAGGGGATGAGGAGAAAGGGAGGCAAGAGTAGTATAAAAAGAGTCAGTCATCTCATATGAAGCTTCTTCATTCAGAGAGTAGTGTTGAGAGATACCCATGGTGAAATAACCACGGTGAAACTTGCTCTGATAACTTTGCACACTGCGAAAACATACCAGAAATGAAGTAGATCTTGCATCCAAATTGTTTTAATATACAGATTTTTTTTTTAAAAGAAACAAAAAAAAGCCAGTTATGGACTGTAAGAGCTGCTCTCTTACAACCACTTTGTTAGATGGTCCTTTCTGTTTCCTTCATTAAAAAACAATATTCCCTTCCCTAAAGAGATACCGTACCAAGGAAGATTTTCCATCTAGCTCCCATGTGCTATATGGAGTAACAGCTAGGCACAAAAAAAGATACCTGCATGTACCTGTTCCTATATTTGTAGTTTATTACAAAACTGTTTTGTCATATAAGCAGAAAACACTACATGATGTAGCATTTAATTACGGAAGTTTGAAATTTTCTGAGGGGAAATATTTTGATTAGTGCTGTCACGCTGAAAGAGCATAAACTGAAAGAGCCACTGAGTCTGGCAGCAGAAAAGACTACTGGAGGTGATGTTACTGTGTAGGTGGTCCTAGATGTTATCATGAACAGTTAATTTTAGTTTTGGCACACATGTACTGCTACTGCCATTCACGTGTGTGTTCTTGGTCAACTACAACAGACAGAATTCAGGCTTTAGCTTTGGCAGTCACAAATCAGCCTAACGACAGACTGCAACATCTGTATCTTTTACTGCAACATCTGTATCTTGACCACTGGTGTAAATAGTCTTGGTCTATACCAGCTTCAACATATGCTCGTGTTACGTATGTGTTACATATGCTTGGCATACCTTTAGCCACTCGTGTATGTACAACCCTGCCAGACTACGACCAAGCCTCACAGGCCATTTGTTTTTGAGGTTACAGAGTTTTTATTTTGTTATTTCTTACCTGGAAGTGGAAAGAAGGAGAAGATGCGTAAAGGAACAACACACAGCTCTGCAAAAGCGAAGTCTACTCCAATTATGTCAACTAAAATCTTCTCTGACACGTTTGGCGTCCAAAACATCACAAAACAGAGCTAGGAAGAACAAAATTAAGAAATATTTATATTTAAGAAGGGAAGCGCAATGAAAGATAGGCCTTCCTGGTCCAAAACATTTGTTTACTCTACTGATGGGCAGATAGCTCTAGTGATGATAAATATGCATACAGTATATTTATACTTAGCTTGCATTCAAATACACAGAGGACACAATTGTAAATAAGAGAGGCACGTTAACTTCCGAAGCAATTCCAACTCCTCGTGTTCCTCACATACCAAGACTGACACATATAGAAAGAATTTTTCTGGTGCCTGCAAATGGTTGTACTTGAATGGTCTAATTGTTATAAAAACTGCAAGAAATTTGATTTTTACAGTACTTGCTCTGGTTGACACCCATATTCCTAAACAGGTTATCAAATGTTTTAGTAACAGAAGATCTGAAGGACTCCAAGACCCAGGGATCTGTTCTAAATTTAACACTAGGGTTTAAACGTGCTGCTGATACTAGTACCGCTGGTACGCAATATGCCTAATATCAGTACAGTCCTGCAGACACAGTGCCCTCAGGCCACAAATCCATTAAGTCTGTTATTTTTGTCGAAGAGTGTGCTCTTCAGTCCACACATGGAAGGAAAACTTGCAGAAAAAAAAATGCAACAAGCAGTACAGCAGTAATACGTTGTTTAATTTTTTGATCAATACTCGTGGTTGAGAATCGAGTTATTAAAAGGAAACTGTAGAGTGACAAAGCAAATTCTTTCATTGCTGCAGACACCATGAGGCAGACTGCAGCAATTTGTACTCTTGCTGCAAATGACCTCTAATGCAACTATATAGGGCATATTTTGTCAAATCTTTCTTCAAAGTCCAGTAAACAAAATAAGATGCAAAGGTGCCTCCTTTTCAGTTACAATTTGCTGTTTTTGTGAAAGCAAAGACCTTTACGCTGCTTGTACTGTACAATGCCGCTGTAGCATCCCACTGAGCAGTACAGTTACTGCTGCAGTGAGATTCCATACACTCATGCTAACAGCAGAGTCTGCCCATGGGTAGCAGAAGGCAAATGGAACAGACTTTCCTCCTTTAACGGCTGTTTGAGAGGCTATTCTAACATGGTTAGACAGGTAAGCAAATAAGTGACCAAAAGCATTGTTCTCAGTCCTGTTCTCCTTGAAGTCAAAGGTTTGTTTCTGGCTTTAACAAAAACAGAGTCAGTCTCCATCCAGCTCCTACGGGAGGAAGGTCAGTTTGCAAAATCAGAGGTAATGACTTACACCCAGCCGGTATGCAGTCATTTCTCCTCAGCTGTCACAGACTGCAGTCTTCTCCACTCCCTGCCCCCCTGATCAGCAGAGAGTCAAATGCTGATAAATGGCTTCAGACAGACCTTCTTGTATAGCAGCTGGTGGGTAAAGGCAGCAGTGACTGCTAGGCTCAGGAGTAAGTATTCTGAGGAGGTGAGGCATGGCAGCAGAAGGACCTTCTATTTCTGTCTCAGCATGTTTCCATCTTTTTTTTTCCTGCAATATTGATAACTAGTTTCATTTTGCTAAGAGTTTCCTCTCTGTTGTCTTTTGAGCAGATGATATTCTCATCGCCCACAGGGGACAGAGCATCAGGAATCATGCAAGCCCTCTGCTATTTAACTTCTAGAGTGCTTACAACTTGGGAAGTTTCCATGTTATTTCGAAGACAAATTCAAAATGCAGTGGAAAAAAAACCCAGGCTCTACTTCAGGAACACAGTAACACTAAAACATACGAAGGAAGGAAGGTATTTTGGCTATTGATTTTATTACAGTATACTGAGATATTGAGTACATTACAGATATATTGAAAATAGGATGAAGTCAGGGTTTTTCTTGTGATGCTGAGCGGTGTGCTTGATGTTTGAGGTTACCTTGGTAAAGGGTGAAGAGTGATCAGAAAGGAGACCAGAGAAGATGGTAACAGATGAAATGATGCACGTAGCCCAGTGAAACAGGGAGTAGGGGAGAGGAGGTCCACTGGAGTAAGCAGTGCTAACTTCCTGGGGCTCAGATCAGGAAAGATTTTGGGAAACGAGACATACTCTAGGTGAATCTATCTTTCTTTAGTTAAACACTGTTTGCTTTCTCCTCCCCCTTATGTCTTTCTGCATGTCTGCGAGGTTAAAAATAGAATTAATAGGCTAGGGTAGGGTTACAATCATACCTCCATTTAATCTAATCAAGAGGTGCCGATGAAACAGTAAAAGCTTTCGTGCAGGCTGGAAACACGCCTGCGCGGTGGCATTGCAGCTTCAGGTTGCAGTTAGCTGCAAAGGCTTTATACAGTAATGACAATTGTGCTTGGCAACTCTGTGAGGCTGAAGCATTTTAATACTTGGCCAGGAGAGATTTTGCTTGTGGAATTCTAGCAAGAGTTGATTTGATTTTTCCGTTATCTTACAGTGTGAGTGCAGCATGATATTAAAGGATGGTTATGTTAAAGCCTTTGATAATTTAACCAGAACTTCAGCTGAACAGTGATGAGTACTTCAAAAATACAGGAAAAAAAAATGAACGTATAAACAGGAGAGTGGAACGCTACAGAGGATATGCAGGCCTGAGTAAATACAATAATATTTATTATGGTGGTGTTATCTCTGTATAATCAGCAGTAGGCTAAACATTTCTGGAAGTGTTTTCATCATTTGAACTGACCTGAAGGGTTGTGCAATTAGGTAATGTGCCTTTAACTGATCGACAGTAGTAGAATTCAAAAGACTTTTAGTAAATATGTCAATTTTCTGGGCTCCCTTGTTCAAGAAGGAGAGGGAACTGCTGGAGACGGTACAGAAAAGAGCTATGAAGATGACTAGGGCACTAGAACACCTGTCTTATGAAGAAAGACTGAAGGACTTGGGGCATTTTAGTCTGGAGAAGAGAAGACTGAGAGGGGATCTTATCAACGCTTATAAATACTTCAAAGGTGGGTGTCAGGAGGATGGGACCAGCCTATTTTTGCAGTGGGGCCCAGTGACAGGACAAGAGGTAGCATAGGAAATTCCATCTAAACATGAGGAGGAACTTCTTCAATGTGAGGGTGACAGAGCACTGGAACAGGCTGCCCGGAGAGGTTCTGGGGTCTCCGTCCCTGAAGATATTCAAAACCTACCTGGGCGCCATCCTGTGCAACTTGCTTTAGGTGAATGTGCTCTGGCGGGGAGTCTGATCTCCAGAGGTCTTCCACCCCCTACCATTCTGTGATTTTGCGATTTACAGCCTCATAAGAAAATCAGTACTAGCTCAGATCAAAGCTTCAGCTAGACTGGTACCACCTCCCTGCTGAAAGTCACTGGGGGGGGCCTAAGGAAAGGGTACAAAGGGCAGGACAAGTGCAGAGTGAGAGATGCCCTTCCCGGGTGTGTGGTCTGAGCTTGCTGGAAATTACAGCTGCAGGAGCTCAGTAATTGTGGCCCACCTGCATCCTATGCAGCATTATGTGATGCATACAACATATCTATTATTAGTGATTATTATTTTCTTCTCAGTCTAGTTGTGCATTAAATTCAAAACCCCTCTCACTTACGGCTTAGACAGTCTCCACAGGTGAGTGTGCTTATTTTCATGTGGAACCCTGCTATTGCCAGCTAGCAAATTCAATTTCTATGCATATTAAAAGGCTACACATGAAAAGCTTCTGCTGTCAACAAGCCTGAGAGAATGCACCACATTTTTGTTTCAGCAGGGAAAGTATCTTAACTGCTAGCGTTCACTCCAACTTTTCTTTAATCTCTTAAGTACACTTTGTGCATTTGACATTCACAAATGCTTGTGATGCAAGACTCTTCATGAGATTTTGTTTCGGATGCTGCATGTGTGAGTTTCTACGCCAGTAGTTCCAGAAAACTAACAAGTCTTTTCAGAGGCGCTGCATCTCCTGGATGCTATTTCCATTTATTTTGGTTGCTGACAGGGATTACATAACCTCAGAGAGCCACTACATAATGCATTATAATACATTACGCTAACAAAGGCTATCGTCATGTGTATAGTAATCTGCAGGGTGCTAGACTGACTTGCTTTTCAGCATTTGTAGAAAGCTGCATGTCTTTAGGGACATTCATTGATAAATATAAGGCACCAAAGTGTATTCCAGTGAGCTGTCAACAACGGTACTGCTGTGAACAAAAGCACTTCTAGACTTCAGTGCAGTCTCCAGTTAGAAGAAAGTTCTATATGGTTCTATTTTCCTCAGACAGAAGCTATGGAATCCAAAAGAGGTGTTTTTAAAAATAGCTTAGACATATACCAGCCTGGAATGAGACTGAAATAACAGATTTTACCATGGGGAAGGATACTGTTAACCTTCTGTAATGAAATGCAGTTCCTATTTTTCTCCTGCAAAACAACTCTCAGCAGATGTTTCCTATCATTTGTTGAACTTGCAGTATTTGCAGAAGTATGGCTCTCTAAAAGAAGTGGCTTACCCTCAAAATACTGTTCTGTGTGTGTACTGAGGATTCCATCTTAACTAATTTAACCCATGCCTCATTCATGACTTCTCTATTCCCATTTATGCTACTTGGTGCCCAGCGAGAGAGGAGAAAATCTACTTTAAACCTTATTACACATCTCATCTTTGAATTGCACCTCAAATCTTTGGGATAGTATTAGTTAAGTTTATCACTTTTATTAATATGGAAGAATATAAATCACATGAATTTTGCCTTCTGAAGTGTGCAATACACAAATCAAAAAGTAGCCTGAGTCTTATGTGGTCCGATCTCCTGATTTACCAAACATCTCCATGGCCTCCATCTTTCTCACCCAAACAGAAATTCCATAATTCTGTCTTCTTTCAGAGCTTGTATCACACTTACAGGATGAGCTCATCTCACAGATATGTTTGTAAGTCAAAATAATATATTGTTCTAACTTGCATCAATGTGAAAAGCTGTATTTGACTCCTCTGTTCAACATCTTATTTTGTAAGATGTTGGGAAAAAAATAAACTAGGTGTGCAACACAATACAAATTCCTAACACTTCCCAAACCACTCATTCCACTA